ATTCCATAACAGTGATCGTCCATACAGCTCAAACATCATACATGCAATCCAGATTACACAACATGCAAGTATAAATTAAACATATAAGCTTCCCTTACCTGGATAGCAGGGTTCGTTCAACAGCAAGGATTTGATTTGTTTCTTAGACTTTCTACCCTCAGTTTCACTAACTATCTTCACTTGATCTAAACATCAAAATCAGAGATTGCTTAAAAATAGTTCATGCATGAACCGAGGACATGGTTTCGAACGAAACCCTAACGGACGAACTGCTAGCGAAAGGAACTTACCAGCTTAGAATCTAATTCTGTTCGGTCCAAAGTGAAGATCACAGCTGGACGAACACTCCTACGGTTCTGAAATGGAATTTGGAGAAAGCTTGGTGAGTTACAGTAGAGAAAAGTTTACTGGTTTATGAGAGAAGTTGGAGAAGATGAAGGGTTTGGGTTCTGAGGAAGAGAATGAGTGGTGCAGGTAAGAGAGAGAATTCTAAAAAAATCCAGTTTTGTTAAATTCATGTTCGTTTGAGCGAACGTATCCCAAGCTGACACCTGCCCACTAAATTCTGAACTGGAAGCTTCTTCTGCAACACGTGGCGTGTGTGCATGTGAAGCCATGTGCGTTTTCAACGTTGCAGAGAATGATGTGACTCGGTTTCAGTGCACAGCAGAGGGTTTATCAGATTTGGAAATGGGTTTTAAATGAGATAAGCATGGATTGTGGTGTGCATTAATGGTGATATGACAGGTAATTTACAGAGTAAATTTTCAGGGTCTCACACCAATTATATACGTCATACATATATAATAAAGACATCATCATGCATAATATAGGAAAGCAGTCAAGAGTTAAATAAGGAATACAGTCATCCTCAGAATAGTGCGGAATTGACAACTGGAGTATTAAGATTCCTCTATGGGAATTACGGAGAATTTAAAACTTAAAATACACAAAACATCCTTCCAAATAAAACGAGTTTACGAAATAAAAACTAGACATCTAAGCTGCAGCACTGCCGTCTCCATCAAGAGTTGCTCCCAAAGTTTCCTCCTCAACATCTGCTCCCATCCAAGTGGATGATCATCGCCAAAGAAACATACCCAAACAGCACATAACAAACAATGCAAGGGTGAGCTAGATATAAAAAGCATGTTATACATACAGCACAGTTAATTTATGCAATCATTCGAACAATTAAAGCATACTCATTGATCCATATTTCACACACTCCCATGACATGTAAACATTCATCCAAACATGGTAAACTGACATCACAAGACTTTTTACTTTAAACCCCGACTTGTTGCTTTATAGACCGACTCGTCCGGACTAGAATGATTACCGAGCTATGGCGGGTCTTGCACTCGTGGTGGCTTTATGAAACTTGGGCACTTCCGCCCTGGCACTACCTCCTTGTGAAACTTGGGCACTCCCGTCCGGTGGAACTTTTGGGCACTCCCACCCGGCCACAATCACGAGGTTAATCCGTTATCACTTACCTTGGATCATATGGAAGCATCCAAGACTAGGACCTCCTGCTACTCCTCACCACATGTTCAATCCTCTCTACATGAGAAGAAAGACCATTGGAGATTCAGGATGACCCCCAAAACTGAGCTATCATGTAATCATTCTATACAACCCCAAAACACCACCATGTATCCTCTCCTTGAGGATCATGGAATTACGTCCATGAATCATACTATTACTTTGAACCTTAACCCAAGACATGAATAACCAAATACAACCATATTATCACAACAAATCCAACATATCTCATACATTCACATATTTTCAAATAAATCACGTCACAGACAATATTCCAACCATTAGTATACATAATCCAACTCAAGACCAAAGGAACTTAGAATTCAACATATTTGTAAAGTACTATTTGAACGAGCACTATTCACCGAACACAGTGGGACGAACGCTACTGGACGAACGTCATTTTCAAAACACTAAGCCGAACACTATTTGGACGGACGCTAAGAGATTGAACAAAAATTGACCGAACGCTAAAACCGAACGCCTGGACACATTTAGTCCGAACGCTAAAACCGAACGTCATATTGGATTCAACACTATCTGGCCGAATGCTAAAACCGAACGTCATATTAGATTCAACACTATTTGGCCGAACGCTAGAACCGAACGTCATATTGGATTCAACTTTATTTGGCCGAACGCCAAAATCGAACGCCTGAACACAATAAGGCCGAACGTCAAAACCGAACGTCTAATTGGATTCAACACTATTTGGCCGAACGCTATGAGATCAACAGGCCGAACGCTAAGAATTTCTAATCCCATAATAATAATACCGAACGCTCAAGATTCAAATCCAAGAATACCAACCTGAGGCCCAACGTTAACAATCATATCCATGAACGAACGCTTATGATTTGAAACTTAGAGTCTAAATTGAACTCGAACGCTCACAACAAAACCGAGGCAGGACGTTCACCATCAGAACAAAACAAAGGCCGAACGTTAATCAAGCCAAGACCGAACGCTCATAATATCTCATTAAAACCGAACGTTCATTTACTAATACAGAAATGAAACCGAACGCTACAGTCACTAACTAACCATAACGGACGTTCCAGATTCAAGCCTGATAATACTAAATTATGTCGAACGCTATTTTTATAAATTAACAACGAACGTTCACGATTTAAACTTATACATACCCATTTAACAACGAACGCTCAAGCTCAATTTATACCCAGACGAACGCTGAAAATCCATTACACACATAGACGAACGCTCTAAATCTATTATACATTTATACGAACGCTCAAAGGAGGATTTAGACGAACGCTCAATCATTATTAAGGGCGTACGCTACACTCATAGGACGAACGCTACACTCACAATATACGAACGCGAACGCTCGTCAAACTTAATACCGAACGCTCAACATATTTTGGCGTACGAGTCATTTTGGACGAACGCTAACGTTCGCTAACCACAAAACCGAACGTCCACTTTCACTCACCAATTTGAACGTACGCGCCTTACATCTTCAAAGAGCCTCCATGCTAGTGCAGCTCTATTTGACTTGCAATAACCTTGGATTAATACCTTAAATAAATAAGCATCAGGCTCAAGACCACTCTGCCTAATCATTGCAAAGAGCTTTGGTACTGTTTTTATGTCCCCAAGCTGTGAAAAGTATAGCATTAGGCCTGAAAATGTCTGGATATCTGGGCAAATACCATTTAAAATCATGTCATCAAGCATATCCAAGGCATCGGAGTTTCTTCCACACTTAGTCAATGTTCTTAGAACAGACGAATACAGAAGCATCAGGTTTACATTTGATATGGGACCGCAAAGTATTCGGTCGTCATTAAAAACCTTCGTAGCAGCATCAGCATTTTTTGAAATCCCATAAAAGTCAATGATCAGCCTGATGGTGCTGAATGGTAGTCTCATTCCCTCCATTCTGATCTTGGAGATGAGTGTATTAACCAAGTCAGTACGTTCATGTCGTGCCAGTAGGGTCGTGATTCTTTGTACGGTGTATATGTCATGAGTAAATCCACTTTGATTAGCAACCCAGCAGAAGAAACTCCATGCAGCTTC